TAATGCAATATAAAATGCACTGAAATGAACCATTGCAAACCAACCCTGCTAAATATTTACAGAAGAGTCTGCTGACACCAGTCAATCAATCAAAGGGCAATTATCATGTATCTTATAGGCATTTAATAACTAATTATCCTGAAGAGTTTCAAACAGTAAACTGGAATCTGAAACTGCACCTGCTTTTGAGGCAGATATATTCAAGCACATTGTACTCCTTTATGCCCTCTGCCTCTGCACTGGCAAGTGCCATGTTTTGGCTGTATTTTAACTCTATGGCTAGGAACAGAAGTTACACATAAACCAGTATAAGTGATCGGAAACTGGTTCAGATCTGTAACACAACTGCCCTTCAGTGCACATAAACTGCTTTCAAAATGGCTGAAAATGGTTTAAGATAAACCTGGATGGATGTAGTATCAAACTTAACTGATTTATGTTAAATCAGTTTATTGAACTTCTGTCCCAGATCCCTTCTAGATTCAAGTTTATTTACAGTCCCCCAGCATCCCAGGATGCTTTGCACCTCCCCTGCAACCTCCCCCCCACCCCCACAGGGTGGGTGGGCTAGCTTTGGCCCAAGCTGTCTGATCCAGCTGAGCAGGGAGGTGTGCTCTATCACCCCCCAACTTCTGGCCTGGGACATCTCAAGCTTGTGGCTGCATTTCCATAATCAAAAGTGAATATCTGTTCATTTCCTTATCAGTTCAATCTAGGCAGCTTAGACTAACCTGCAAAGATTGCATTGATTCAGCCTCAGGCTTCTTGACTGTCTATACTCAGCCTGTAGGTCTAAGAGTAGAGTGAACTGGAACAATTTACCTACCTAAAGTGAAATTAGTAAACCACAAATGAAAAACTATATTTGATGCTTTTATTCTAGCATTTGGTTACTGACTTGATCATGAAGTCAGACAGTTCAATTTTGCATGGCTGTCATCACAAAAGCTTACACTTCTCTGAATCAGTCTCCAAGGTGCCACCCTGCCCTGCCTTCTCTGTTTATATGATACAGAACTAAACCTAGGAGCAGTGTGGGTTCTAATCCAAGTGCATTGGAAAAGTTAGAGTTGAATCTTATCTCAATCCACCATTTGTTGTGGTTACAGTAACTGTATTCAAACACTCACTTTCAAGGTCCAAAAAACCACATTTTTGATAAGAGTGAATACCACAAATAAAAGACTGAATATTAGCCAAAAAAGGGCAAATGCCAACTTCTTACATTATTTCTTACTTCAGTGAAAAGAGGGAACAGAGATCTCAAAGTTACAATCCTAGGATTTTCTCAAGGTAATAATAGTTTGTTAAAACATTATAATCTCAAGCCAGGTTGAAAAGCCAAATCATCACTGTCTAATTTCAATTTGGTTCTATAATAGAGTCTGATTCTGCTCTCATTGGGCGCATCTACATGAGGTTACTGTGAAGTTGCCTAATTAGTTCTTCAGTAAAGTCTCAGTAGGTGCATCTACACATGCACTTTAATGTGCATTAGCCTATTTTAATACACATTAAAGTGTCACAAAAACCCTGTGCTCTTTAGCTAATGCACATTAAAATAGGCTAATGTGCATTCTTCTAGTACCTCACAATGGAGGTACTAGATTCAATGTGCATTACCTAAAGTGCATTAAAGAATGTGTAGACGCACCCAGTGCCTGCATGTGCAACCGTATTAGGCTGCAGTAAACTAATTAATTCCACCATAGGTTAGTATTTTTAAACACAAGTACCATCCTTCAGTGGCATTATTTAGTATGTTGCAGCACATGTATAGATGCTGACAGGGCTGGCTAGGGCATGCAAGTACTTCAGTACAGGAGCTGCCTGCCAACTAGCCCCACACTGGAGCACCCTCATGTCTCAGCCAGCCGCTCCACAGCATGCTGAGCCAGGTTAGAGCAGCCCCAGGCTGTCAGGTTGGCCCCCTGGAACCCGGCCAGCTGGGGCTACTCCAACCCAGCTCAACATGCTGCAGTCCTGGACACACATGCAAACACAGTGCCTGGGAGCAATAAACTCCAGTGCTAACTGGACCAGAGTTTACTGCATTGCACTAATTGCACGTGTAGATGCACCCATTAAAAGCCAATGGGAAACTGTAAGAGAATCAAGATCAGGCATTTAGTTCAGTTTCAGTTGTTTGGCTTTATTGTGATATATCAATGCTACAGCTGTTTTTAAATGCTTGACTGGTGACACCTCTGAGGGCTGAGTCCCATTCCACATACTAAGTTCTTAAGTGGTACATAAGCAGGTTTCAGGCATCTAAGTCTTTAAGCATGAATGGCACATGTCCCCAGAGGCTGGGGGAGCATGGCGACCACCCATAGACAGCAGTGACAGTGGCATGGCAGCAGGGAGCTCCCACAGGTGCCCACGGCGATGTCAATGGGGGGGGAGTGTGGGGGGTGTCAAGCGCCAACCAGCGCTTGGTGACTACCCACGCAAATGCTGATGGCAGCATCAGCAGTGGCCAGCGGCAATTGGTGACCGCCTGCAGACACCACCGGCAGTGTTGGGGGCGAGTGGGGGGGTGATGAGTGGTGACTGCCCACAGGCGCTGCTGGCAGCATCAGCAGCGCTTCTCTCAGGGGGTGCACATGCATCTGCGTGCACCCCCTACGTGTCGCCAATGGCTTTAAGTATTCTCTCTCTCCAGTTCCTGCAATACTGTTAATGCGGGCATGTCTACACAACATGCTACTGCACAGTGGTTATTGCACATTTATTTAGTACTTGTATAAGCAAGTACTAAATAAATACACAGTAAAAGGAGTTACTACTCAGTAGCACCAGCTAACATGTTTTTAGTGACACTACTGTGCAGTAGCATCTCATCATGTTTTTTGCTGCAAGATGATACTGAGCAGTAGTATTTGGCTACTGCACAGTCAGAGTCTTGTGTAGACACATCTTGTGTCTACTTTTGTAGTGTGATTTCATCTCAGCCTTAAGCATCTGAGGGGCACAGCAAATACACACCTTCCACACAAGAGACTAATAGTTAGGACACTTTCCCAAGAAGTGAGAGGCCTGGGTTCTGGTTTCTTTTCTGCCTGAGGAAGTTTAAGCTTACATCTCTCTTTCCCCACAAAGTGTCCTAATGACCTGACTGTGGGCTAGGTAAAGCTGAAGGTATCCTTCATTCCTCCTGTTGAAGTTATGCTACTGAAAGGAATACAAGAGTCATGAGGCCAGAAGAACAGCATGCAAGAAGGAGCCAGACTTGGTAGCCTGGTTCTGTTCCTAATACAATTGATACATTTTGCATTAAATAGTCATTGGATAAAATGCATCTAGGATCTAAGAAGTTAGATGCTTACAGCTCTTCCTGGGAAGTAGATGGGCATTCAAACCCATTCAGACCTAGAACCTGAGTATCCTACTCCCCAGTCAAGTGTCTTAACCAAGGCAAAAAGCAGGTGGAGTCTTCCTCTTCCTTCTCCCACCTGTTACTATTGGAAAATAGGCTGGTGGATCTTCCAGCACAAGTACATCATTTGCAATCCTGAGTCAGAGGCTTGAGGGGTGGGAGTTCACCTCTTCCTATGCCTAGCACTTCCTACTGGCTATAAGTGATACTGTGTGATCCCCTGCTCCTTTCTTAGCCCTGGAGGCACAAATTGTTGCCCATTGTGAGAATGGGAAATTTTTGGAGCTGCTTGGGGTAAAACATAACTGCCCTCCTGAAGTGAGATGCATTTGTTTTGAACAAACAGCCACATAACATCAGGAATAAGATCTGGGCCTAAATGTATGTATAGGCATCTACTGGTGATGGGTCTCAGCCATGAAGTTCAGATTCAAATATGGATCTGACCTACCAAAAAATCTGCAGGTTTTAGTTCTGGGGTGTGTTTGTTTACTCTAAAAGTATTCACCAGTCAAATAGTTTGATTCCCATCCCTCCTAGTTCCAAATGTTCAAATTAGTTTTATGGGATTAGAGTTTATCTGGATCCATCTTTAGTAAGCATCTTCCCCCAGAGAAGAGTTAATGTATGTATAAAGATGTACGCAAACTTAAAAATATTTATTTTTCAATAAAATCATATATCGGTAAATATTTTCCCTCAACATGTAGTCATTCTAGGTTTCCAGTGGTCTTGCTCAATCTTGTGTTTAACATCACCTTCATGGGCTGATTTTGGTAGGTTAGTGACATCTGGTAGATTATTGAAAAGAGCTGTTTTTAAGTTGAAAAATAGCAGCATAATCTGTTTTATCTTTCATTCACAATGCTGCAATTCAGCAGGCTCCTCTAAAAAGTTAATTAAACAGATGTGTTTGTTGTGTTTCATGGAAATCAAATGTCTGATTATTTTCTGGACTTCAAACCCATTTTTCACTTTGCATAGTAGCAAGTGTAGCTCACTTTGAAATAGTTTTCTTAGCTGAGAGCACAAATTAAACTCTCTCTGTCCTAATACAATCTACACTCCATACACAGTGGTCAATAAGAAGAGGTATCTGCTCTCCTTCTCTTAATATTCATTAAGGCCTCAATCCTGCAAGGTATTGAGAACTCTGGCCCCATTCCAGCAAAACATTAAAGCACTTCTTAATTGTAAGCACTATTGGAATCATTGAATTTGTAGGACCATCCATCTGCTTTAAGTTGAACCTGTATTTTATTGCTTTGCTACACTGTGGTCAGAGAATATAGCATCTGGCAAGCTTAACCCCTCTGGCTATGATTTTCAATTCCTTGCACACTCAATATTCCCATTGACTGTAATATCCACTACAGTTAGTAGTATGCATGGAAAATAGAACCAAGGACCTAATCAGTTAAGGAAGAGTGATGGGATAGAATATTTCCAAGCAAAAGAAAATGATTCCCTTTTGCTATGGAATTAGTACAAAAGAATCAAGAGCAAGTCCTTTTTTCTTCCTGTTTTACAGTGAGTGTAAAAAGATCATTACATTTTCTTTAAAGTCCCATAAGTAAATACACTGCTTTTAGTAAAAAGTCAAACACATATGTCAACTTACCCAAAATGATTGGCCAGACTCATGGAAATGCAAAAAAGGATGAAGTTTTTGATCATGATAAAACTAGAGAACATTCCATTGTCCATTCCAAATGTGATTAATAAAAAAAGTAGTCAATTGGGCAGTCTTCCTTTCCACACTTTGCTTCTTATGCTGTAACAGACAAAAGACAAATAAAAGCCAGGTGACCCTACCACAAAGAAGACAATGGAGTTCTGTCGTGTGTGTGTGTGTGTGTGTGTGTGTGTGTGTGTAGCCGTCCATAGTTAACAGTTTATCTCTACTGCTCTAAACTGTTTGCTGCTGTAACTGTGCAAATTAATTTCTTCAAGGACGTGTTTTATACTGTGTTAGCAGGAAAAGACAAAGCAAAAGAAATTTGATTTCAATGACTGTGTTTTTTGTTTTCCGTGTGTGTGCACGCACACACACACTTTATTTATAAATAAGCAAAAGAAATTAGATGTCAATGATTCCAGGTTATTTTTAACATGTGTGTGTGGGAGTGTGTATACGCTTCATTTATCTATAAGCAAAAGAAATTAGATGTCAATGACTCCAGGGGTTTTTTACGTGTGTGTGTGTGTGTGAATACAAATCATTTATACATACGCACAAGAAATTAGATTACAATGACCCCCAGGTTTCTTTATACATGCACGCACGTGTGTGTGTATGATGGGCGGGGGTGTATACATCCCCACCCATGCGCACACACACACTCCCCCACCCACACAAATACACCCACACACACACACAAAAACCCTGCAGTCATTGAAATCTGATTTCTTTTGCTTCTATATCAATGAAGTGTAGAGTTTCAAAAAAATTTCCCACGCACTGAGTCTGACCCTTACCTATTATTAATAGTTACTACCAACCAAATATTCAAGTGTTCCCTGTGGGGTGTCCTGATTGGTCCTTACATATCCCCCCTGCTCCCCAAATTAATAACAAACCTTTCCCCCAACCCTTCCCCTTTCAATAAAACATTAAAAATCGCCTGCTAATTCAGAAATTCAGGCTACTACTGCAGGGCATATTAAAGAGGGGGAAAAAGTGACCTTTCTTTTCACTGCCCATACTGTCCAACTAGGGCAAAGAATGACAAGGGTATAACAATTAATGTACAATTTCTTACTCATAACTATATGGAGTTATATAATGTTTTAAATAGTATGCATGGCCAATATTTTTAAATCAAAGTTATTTTTATAACCATACATTTTTATTGTTTGAACAGTCTGACTTTGAATCATCCCTAGGTTATTAATTTAGCACTTAGCACCTACTTTCAGGAACCACGTGCATATTAATGCGCGTGAATCTAAAAGCGATTCCTCCCTTTCGTTGTCAAATGAGAGGAGGACAGAATGTGTCAGGGATGCTCCTGCCTTGAGCAGGGGGCTGGACCGGGTGACACGGTGAGATCCCTTCCAGCCCTACTTTCCAATGATCCTCTGACTGCTTTGGGGAGGGCTGATTGTCACCTCTTGGCTGTCTGCCCCAGCGACTGAATGACCAAATGGTCCCAGCGTGTGACAGAAACATTTCTCTCTGTGCCTTCAGAAAGGATCATAGAAAGTCATAGACTGTGAGGGTTGCAAGGGAGCTCAGGAGGGCATGTAGGCCAACCCCTTGCTCAAAGCAGGACCATGCCCAAGTAGATTGTCCCAGCCAAAGCTTTGTCTACCGGAGGCTTAAAAACCTCCAGGGACAGGCTGTTTCAAAGCACCCCTTTGCACCTGAAGCGGGGAAAGCGAATCATAGAAAATGAGGGGTGGAAGGGAGCTCAGGAGGGCATTGAGTCCAACCCCCTGCTCAAAGCAGGACCGTCCCCAACTAGATCATCCCAGCCAAAGCTTTGTCTACCGCAGGCTTAAAAACCTCCATGGACGGGCTGTGTCAAAGCACCCCTTTGCACCTGAAGCACGGAAAGCGAATCATAGAAAATGAGGGGTTCCTCAGGAAGCCATCTAGTCCAACTCCCTGCTCAAAGCAGCACCATCCCCAACTAGATCATCCTGGCCAAAGCTTTGTCTAGCCCGGCCTTGAAACCCCCCAAGGATGGCTCTGGCCTTGAGCCATTCAGCAACCGCCCCCACCCTCCCCTCCCCTCCCCGCCCCAACCCCAGCTGTTTGACCCTGGCGGGGCATGCCAAGGATCCAGCTGCTAGGGGGAAACCCCCTGCCCAGCTGTTGTCAGGGCTGGGGCCCCCTCCGGCTGCCTCGAAAG